GCTGAGAAGGAAACTTGGTAACACTGTAATGCAGCCTGTATGAATCAGGTACCAATGAAATTCTTGCTGTTATCTACTTAAACTGAAATGAAGCTGGAATTAAGAATGTCAGCTGCGAAATCATGTGTGGCCGTTCTCCCCTTTTTACTCTTTAATGACACAACAAGAAAAAGCTTGTTAAGGCTTCATTTGACTCTTTTCCTGTGCTCTATTTGAAGTGTTGATCCATAAGAAGATATATTTGTGGTTTTAAGAACCAAAAACCATCACAATGTAGTTTTACATCTCTCTCAGGCTTCTCTCTGGAGCTCTAGTATACTTAGCTTGCCCCCTCGTCCAGAATATGTACATACAGTATGCTACAGACTTTGGCTCCTCGCTAGCAGATGCCACAAACAAGCAGAAGTTGCTGTAGCATATCATTGCCATCTCCTCTGCAGCGATGGCAGTGGCTGTGGTAACTCAGTGGCAGTTAAGTTTGCCCCTGGGTGCCACAGCTAGTTGCTGCTGCCCCTGTTTGAGCAAGCCCCTGCTAATGTATTGTGCTTAAATTGTTAAGTTGCAAAAAGTGAGATCGCGCTTAAGATACTCCCAGCTCTGCTTCCTGCTCACATTTACAAGAGAGGAGGAAAAGTCTTCAGACCCACCGTGGAAGAATCCCAAAGGTCATTTATTGACACCAGACCTGTAAGTTTTGTTTTAGTTTTTCAAGTTCTGATAAGGTGGGACATTTGCTCTGCTCTATATGCTTGGTAAATATGAAAGTAATTTAGGGCCAGAATGTTAAAAATATCAAACCATGAATCATTATTTTATTTATTTTTTGCTTTCAAATATTCTTGCCATTGATAGATAAACCTCTAGTCATTAGTGAAGTTCGGGAGTCGACTACTTGATTTGGCGCTGATTGGTGACAGCCCTGCCAAATACTCTTAAACAGAGTGGGGTGTGACTGAAGTTAATGATGGCTGAATTGGTCTGGTGTTTTATGTACAATGTTCTAATTATTCAAGTGAAGTCGGTATTAATTATATAGCGCCAAATCAGAACAGAAGTTATCTTGGGACACTTTTCATATACGTTCAGTTTAGTTTGTACTCTTAATAAGATTATTTACAGAGACCCAACATTACCCAATGAGCAAGCACTTAGCAACAGTAACAAGAAAAACTTCTTTTTAACAGGAAGAAACCTGGACTGGGCTCTGGGTGGGTGACCATCTGCCTCAACTGTTTGGGAGAGGGAGAGATTGTGAATATGCAATATTTTAATGTTAACGAAAATGTCAACATTAAAGTAATAATGATATAATCAGTCCAAACTACTTCTACTACTTCAAAATAACATTTAGTTTACAAAGTCTCAGTTTGAATACAAAGTTAATTTGCTACACATATTTGCATGTTTAAACAATGTTTGCAAAAAATGTTTTTTGGTTATCCTACCTTTTTTTGTTTGCATTGTGATGCAAAATAAGCTTGATAACTTAAATGTTAATTATATTGCAATGCTAAGTGACTGATGTTTAATTGACAGGTGGGGACCAACATGGTGGAATACCTGCAGCATGCAGAAGCACATAAACCCATGCCTTTCATTTTGTGCCTTGGAGATGATTCCAAAACATGCCAGGCCTTCAAGGTCATCGCAGGAAACGCTTTGGAACGTGACCCTTTGCTGGGAGCCGTTGATGTCTGCTTCAAGGCATTCTTCCTCTTTGATATAAATTACACAAAGCAGTGTGATGGACATGAGTCATAGTCTGTAAAGTTTCTGAGAACTGTTTGCTTCCATACATAATTTGTTAAACCTTAACCCCACCGCTTGGTAAATATAGGACAGAACATGCACTGGGTTGATTTGACCCAACTGTTTTAACAACGGAAAACAACGGTTTTACCATTTAACCCATTTGTTGGGTTGTTCATTTGACCAAACCTAGAGAGTTAAATTAACTATATTGCTGGGTTAAACATCAGGAGTCAGCTGGGCCGCTGACAGGACACGAGGAGCAGGTGAGACGTCGTCCAGAACCATCAACTGGGGAACAAGGGACATGAATGTGCACCCGTCTGCAGCAGCCTGCAATACTCACAGTTACACCCACTTCATGTTCTGTCATGCTGCTGTGCCAGTGCATTGAACCCTTCTTGGGTTTGGTGTTAATTGATTTGTATGAACTACAGTACCTCGCTATAGCTTTTAGCAATTGTTTGGCAGCACATTTTATTCACAACGCTTCACTTTTTTACACATTTTATTATGTTGCAACCATATGCTATTTTTCTCCCCTCATCAAGCTGCATTCAGTACCCCACAATGACAACACAAAAACAGAATTTTTGATTTTATTGTTTTTGTATTAAAAGGAAAACTGAAATACTACTAGTATGTTAACTTCAACCAACAGCATAAATTATAGAAATGTTTATTACTTACATACCTTGTTTGCAATCAATTCATGATGTACCACGTTTTATACTGTATGACTGTACTTTTACAGTGTCATTACAGAAACAATCTGCAGTGTGACAACAAACATATCTCGGCACATAATTCACACAGTGGTAAGCTGTTTGTTCCTAGCCCCGCATTAAATATGTACGAGCTCTGTTTCCAGTGTTAATGAAGGAAGGGTGGTGGAGGAAAGGAGGAAGAGTGTCTGTGTCAGACCTGCAAACAAAGGGGGAAACAGGAATCTTCTGTTCAAATAAAAAGAGGAAAGAAAAAAGGCAACTTGCTTCTTTGGAGACTCAAAGAGTTCAACATTAAATAAATAAGTGCATGTCTGGGACTGTCATCAAACGTGAAATTTGGGGCAGATTTGACAATGTATATTTCAGTTACAACAACGTCCTCTTGTGAAATTTGCTGCCCTGCCACAGAGTCACAATCATCAAGGATAGGATAAGATTAAGTATTTTCTGACTAAGAAGTAAATCAAGTTTTAAAACATGATATTTCCTGTTGCCATAGGGTGGCGCTATGAGTATAACTGAACAGTGGCATGTAGGTGTCTTCAGGCCGGGACATTTGTCAAACATATAAAGTTTGGGGGCAGTTTGGACAACATGTGCTCAAGTTATAACAACATACTTTTTCATGGCAAAACAAATTTGCCACGGCGCCATGAACAGGCTGTTCAACGAAAACTCAAAAGATGAGTTGACTGACCAAATATGATGCTGATCTGATTAATTCTCTAATAGGAGTTTGTTAAAGTACAACACCTGTAAATGGCAAAAACTGCACCAAAATTGCAGAGTAAATTCAAAATGGCTGACTTCCTGTAGGATTCAGGTTATGGGTGTAGGCCTTGGCAAATAAAGTATCTATCTATCTATCTATCTATCTATCTATCTATTACAACTGCATACTGACTTTCCTACATGTAGGTGAAACATTGGGCAAGCAGTGCCTTGTTGAAATATTCTAGGGGTCGCTATAGAGCCTTTTTGTCACACCCATGTGCAAGACCAATAAAACATACATTTTCACCTGCTGTGACACGTGCAGCATGATCGTTAGAGAATAATAATAAGGAAGTAATACCAGTTAGTGCTTGTTAGTATGAAATCTTATTTGATTCTGTTTCACTTCCCAACACAATAGTTTTTCTCATTGTTAGCAGCTGTGACAGCGGGCTGGTATTGTTTTCAGCTTGTGAGTCTGTCCACATTCGGAGGTGGTCTGGGCCACATGTGGCCACATTCTTCATGAAACTCAAAATGAAGGCAGAGTTCGAAGATGGTTGTGATCTGACCCGCGAGTACTGAGAATAACTACTGAGCACCTGTGTCGGACCGTCAACATGTTGACAGCCATCACAGCTTGTGTGATCCCATCGCAAGACGATGTCTAGTTTCTATTAAATTTCCAAACATATAATAATCTACAACCGAGCTTGCAGCTCTGTGATGGTGCTTTTTAGCTAAATGCTAAAGTCAGCATACTGAAACTCTCACCATGACAATGCTAACATGATGTTTAGCAGGTAATATTTACCAGACTCATAAACTTATTTTAGACTGTTAGGATGATAGCATTTGCTAATTAGTGCTCGACACCAAGTACAACTGAGGCTGGTGGGAATGTCATTAGTTTTGCAGGTATTCTGCAGGCACCGTTGGACCAATTCATATTTTGACTTATGATGGTGCCAGATGGAAAGTCAATAAAATAAAACAATTGGATTCGCGTCAAGTGTGGAGCCAAGTTTTGGACCAACTGACCACTAACAGACCGACACTGCCATACCTAGGATGCTGCTGGTGTAGCCATGAGTTTATTGGATTATTTCACTATTTCATTGTTCTATTACATATTCTATCTGCATTTGCTGATAAGATTATTTATTAATTCCACCAAGGAGGTTATGTTTCACCCATGTCTATTTATTTGTCAGAAGGATTATGCAAAAAGTACTGAACTGATTTGGTGGAGGGATGGAAGAACCCATTACATTTTGGTGCAGGTCCAGTTTAAAGGCCAGATCCAGAATTTATAAATTACAAGATTTTTCAACATTTTCCATCAATTTCTCAGGAAATAATGTTTGGGTCTTGATGTAAAGTCAGACATATTTACAGTATTGAGTTCTATGTGTTTTTACAATTTGGTGCACATCGAGTTAATAATCTGCGTTACACACGGATCTAATTTTTAATCTCAACAGTGCACATGGCACCAGCAGCATTTAGGAACGCTTACATCAGTATTTCATTCATCATATAACTGATAAAATTACACAGTAACAATAGCAGTTGGGACATAGCAATGAGACAATACAGCTGTAGAGTTGTATAAATAGTATAATGCTGATGTCATCATTCACAACAGGTAATAAAACCATACAGCTGTGTATATATGATAAATAAAGCTACACCTGAGAACAGAAGATGTGTAGGTTTGTTTGGCCATTATACTTTCATTATGTATTATTATATACAATTAGGTTTGATTCAGTTTATCTCAATCTGCAAAAAGTTTCTTTAAAAAAAAAAAAAAAAAAAAAAAAAAATCACTGAAAGAATTTTGGCATCAAACGAACCTCATAACCTTTCTGTGATCCATCCGAGGTCTGACTGAAGCTTTGACTTAGTGGGTATGTCAGGCAATGACAAGCAAGCACTTCAGAATATCTATGATTTTACGAAATACTATTTGACCTAAATTTCATGTGTAAAAATAGGTTCATTCAGTAACCCAAAATACTCTTTTTATACAAGATTATAATTCGTTTTCTGAGCACCACTTTTAACAGCCTGCTATGACTGCACATTGTACTGATTATATGGATGTTTTATTATTGATCCAAACACATAAATACAGTATTTCCCTCTTGTTAAGTGCTCTCTGGTCTGTTTGTGAATGGTCCGTTTGTACAATATGAGGATAGCATGTGTGCGAAACTTTGGCAGTCGACATGAAGAAACATGAAATTACAAACACTGAAGAAAGTTGCCATATTTTCAGACAGAAATGTTCACTACAGATCAAACCTGGCATTCATGAATATAATTACCTTATGTGTGATGCAGTAATCATTCAGTAGATTTCTATATGATACAGTCCCACCCCAACACATGACGTAATCTTCCTACATGGAGGAGGGTCGTGCAGCCTAGTTGAAAACTTGACCGCCTGAAGGTCAGTTTCACATTTAAACCTTAATGGGGGAAAAGAAAAAAAATCAGGACTCCAATCAAATGATCTTTCATCAGTTTTCTAATTAAAACGTCAACCTGTGATAGCCGACGTCTTTGCACACACTCTGATGAACTAATTAAAAGCTGATTAACTCATTAAACCCCAAAAAAAACTTAATATCACAGCTTCCCTTCACTGTAATCATATTAGCATGCACAGTACATACAAAAACCTGACCTTGGCAGCTCATGATGCATTTAGGGAAGTCAGTGAAGAAAAAAAGTCAGTTAGTCCGTTTCCCTCTTTCTGTGTTATTTGTTGTACACAAGCCATTATTTTCCATATATTAATGCCACAGTGTGACAGAACTACAAGTGCAGATATACAGAAGCTGTACACAGTAACATAACCATCTGAGAACAATGATGAAACTGAGCTTCTTCAATCTAGTTGGAGTAAAAGCATGAAAGTTCCACATTGATCCAGTGAAATGTGGGTAAAGTGATGTACCTGTAGACAGTCATCATGACAAACAGGAAGAGCTGGACAGTAAGCCCCAAGTAGTGCTGTATCTGTATTTACTTTCTAAGATGAATATGACAGGAAAAAAAGCAAACTGATAGCTTTTGGCTTTTCAGAGACCACTGTTAAACCACTTCAAAAAAAAAAGCATGATACCAGAAAAAACAAAACACTTCAACTCTGTGCCTTAACACTTCCTGTATACCATCGAAAATATTCATCTGACCACAGTTTTGCAGCATAGGCTAGCTCTTTGAATATTTCCTCCTCATCTCCGATGGCCCTTCTGCTTCTTGTTCCTTGCAGGGGTCCTGATCGGCTGACTGGCAGCTCCGTTTTCCAGTGCCACGGGAACTGGAGCTGCCGGCGGAGAGGTGGGAGAGAAAGGGTCCGGCTCTCTGTCCATGCTGGATTTGAAGGGTCCGGCGGGAGAAAATTTCAGGGGACTGAAGAAAAAATGAAATTATTTATCATTTTTATGCATCTTCTTATAATGTTTTGGCTACCGGGAAAGTAAAGATGTCTCTGTTGTCCTGAGGGATGTTACAGAAACAAATAGTTATAATTAATTTAATTATTTTGTTGTGGAAAAAGAATCTGATGGGTTCAATCCCTTGAATATAAATTAATTCAGAAATACATTCATCCTCAAAAAGGGGTCTCACTCCTAACATGGTTAAGAACCAGTGGTTTATTAAGACACACTTGCTTCTAATGTATTGATTATTAATTATATGATTATTAATTATTTGTAAATGACAACAAAGTAAAAATAAAACTATGACCTTGTTTTGTTTGTAAATATGTATTTATTATCTATGTTGTTAGTCCCAGTGGTAATTGGTAAATGTCTGTTGTAATGTGGCTTAACAGATTGGACTGGATGTTTTTAGTGTTACCTGATGGGTGTTCGCGGGCTGCTGTTGTGTCGGCGCACAGGTCGTGTTCGGGGCTCGAATGAGAAGCCTTCTTTTAGACTCTCTAGGACCGATGGAGCCACGTAGGTGAAACCCTGATGCAAAATTATCACTCTTCAGTCAATCGTGGACAGAATCAGTCATTCTGGCTTCCTCACTAAAACTAAACTAATTTACCACACTGTTAACAAGGAAAGTGAAGTGAAAGAGGCACTGACTCATTATCTGAAACAAAAGTATGGTATCAATTCCAGTTGAGTGCGGTTTCTAGAGCATACATATAAACTTCAAAAAGTTGGATAAGGAAGAGTATCTCACAGCAAAGGCTAGCTCTGCACTGTGGCTGAGTGTGGTGTCATCTGGACTGTCCACTGGTGTCTGTCTGGTAAACCTGGTGTCAAACTGGCTCACATCCTCATCTGACTGCTACAGAGAGACAGACAGGGAAAGCCAAGAGTTAGACACAAAAGATGGTAATTGAAGAAAAAGATAAGACTTATTAAGGTGTGTGTAGATATGAAGGAGCAGTGAGTGGTTTGGGGGAAATAAAAGTACAGTAAGTGGTGGTCAGTCTACTAGCCCAGAATAACAAGCATAATCTGAATTTAACAGGCTACTTGATAACATAATGGACTCAAAATGACAACTGATGACTTACCAGCTGTGGCTTGTATGGTGGCTCCACTCTCTTGTTCAGAAGCTCATCCCAGTTAATGTGCCTGAAGAACGGATGTTTCTACAGAGGAGCAAAAGGAGTTTTTTTGTTGTTCTTTTTTTATATGTTTGAATATGTTTAAACACATTAATAAGGAAGTATTCTGTATGTATACTGTCGTCAGAACCGACAAACCACAGTGTGTCTGTCTGTTAAAAGACTTCCTCAAAAGGATAATTCCATGTATCCTCATTTATGGCTTCAAGATGAAGAAGTGAAATGATTCCCAGGTCAAGTGAGGACCATGGAGTGTGAAGCGATGAAAAAAAAAAAAAAACCCTGCCTCTTATTTTAAAAGCTCTGGTTTTGCTCACAATTGGGCAGCATTTCTATCTTACCCTTAAAAAGTGAACTCTTCCATTCAATTCGCACCTTTTCCTCACCTTAAAGCAGACCATACCTATCCTTGTCCTATCCTGTCCTGTCTCATGGTCTGAAGTGCATGACGCAGGTGCATTTAGGGCGTGTCCATGTCACTGTCGCTAGTTTAACGGTGGAAAAAACAGTTGCTGCACCAGACGCATCATTCAAAAGTGTTGTACTTAATCTCCTAATTAATCATGGGAGTGTTTTGGGCAGAACATCCAATAAACTAATCACAGTGCCATCTTCCATTCCCTTTAAAAGCTGTGTGCACTTGCATCTTGGCGTATTGCTATTATAACAGAGCAGTGACTCACACAGAGTTAGATTCTATTTCTGGTCAGTTGATTACATATTGTGACTGATCAATGAGTCGGGTGTCTGTGCGCATTGAGGGGCAAGGAAAGTCTGATGGAATCCAATCGCTGCTCACAGCTCTACAGTGAAGACATTGTGGTGAACAAATTTAGGTGATGAATGTGGAACACTGTTGCAGATTTACCAGGTAGTTAAGAAAGAAGCTTCTCTGCAGAGCCTCGTGCAAGACACATCCACGATGCATGACAACGTTATACAACACACATGTCACAAAGAAGCTCCGACCTCCTGAAGCTGTATTGTAATGTTCTACCTGACTTATCCCAACATAGAATTACATTGTCAGCACACTCTGCTTGTGTAACAGACACAGAGTGTATGCACTCTGTGTATATTGGCACGGTACTCTCTTGACAACGCTCCTTAAACTAACAGTTAAACACTGTGCACAGTCACTTTCCACTGTCTCAAGATGACGCCTGACCACATCTCACTTGAAGATAGGGCCCATAGTGTCTATCTCCACATCCCTTTATACTGGGACAGTGTATCTGTGACATGTGTGTTACTGCTTGGTCTGTCTGCTACCTGTTTGATTTGCTTGTCGTTGCTCCTATTGTGTCTGTGAATTTTTTACATTGCATTTCTACTTGATGATATACAGCACTCCACCTGGGGAGATTGTTTTGAATTGTCACATTTTCAGTATGTGCACAATTATAGGGAAACCATGTGAAAGCCAGGTAGAAAGTGAAGTTGGTTGTTAGTGGTCACTACAGCTGTCGGAGAATGTGAGTGAGTGAAGAAGTTACCGCAGTTACCTGGATATCTGCACAGTCTGTTTTACTGGAGCCAAGTCTTTGGGCTGGATTCTTCTTCAACAGCTGAAAATAGATAGAATGACACATGTCAGTAAAAGAATTATGATTGTCTTTTGAAATAATTATTTATTTGATTTAGAGAATTAAACCGTTTTCATGATATTGTCTCTAATTTATTTAACTGTAACTTTAAATGATTTTAATTTATATTATTTGTAAGAGCTACTATTTTCATTTTAATATGAGTAGTATTTGTTATAATATTGGAGATATACAAAACCATATAGACTAAATATAAACATACACATACAATCTGTTCTGCTGCAAAAGAACATAAAAAAAAAAACTTCACTCACACTTTGCATTATGACAAATACAACAGAAATAAATAGCAAACTTTCGAGTGACGTTTCTGATCATTGCTTTTTGTTGATTTTAAACTTTAAGTATCTTTTAATGTTAAGGCTGGTTGTTTAATGCTGTGGTCACATATGACTAAATCATAGCAAAATGAGAACAAACACACTTAAGCGCCACAAAACAGAAACTGGTGGTTATGAAGAAGAGACCAACTTGTGAAACACTGCTAGTTTGGTGTATTTGAGGGCTGAAGCCTCACAGACAGGATCAATGATAGATGAATGCAAATGCTTTTATTCACTCAAGAATGTGACCACTGTGATTCGGCTCCAATTTTAAATTCACTTTAACATTTCCTACTTTTGGATTGTTAGAAAATACACTGCTCAAAAAATTTAAGGGAACACTTAAATCACACATTGGATCTTGATGAACAAAGTTGGAAATCTCTCTGATGGACATTTGTTGAGAACAAAATGACGTAACAACGGTCAATGGAAACCAAAATCATCAACCCACTGAGGGCTGGATTCACAATCACACCCTAAATAAAAGTAAAAAATTGAGATCACAGGCCGATCCAAGTCAATTTCATCACAACAACTCATCATGTGACTCAGTAGTGTGTATGGCCCCTGCATGCCTGTATACACTCCTGACAACATCTGGACATGCTGCTGATGAGTTGGTGGATGGTGTCCTGGAGGATCTCCTCCCAGACCTGGATCAGAACTTCAGTGAGCTCCCGGACAGTCTGTGGCGGTACTTGGCGCCGTCGGATGGACGGATACATAACGTCCCATAGGTGCTCAGCTTGGCCAGTCAATGGCATCAATGCCTTCATCACCCAGGAACTGCCTACACACTCTGGCCACATGAGGCCAGGCGTTGTCCTGCAGCAGGAGGACCCCTGGGCCACTGCAAGTATGGATGTGCCATCCTGGAGGAGCTGGACTACCTGTGCAACCTGACTGGGCTGCAGGTACCGCCTCATGCTACCAGTAGTGACACGGACACTAGCAAAACACAGAACTAGAGAAGATGGAGGGAAGCATCAGGAGAGAGCCACTGTCTGTGGACACCACATGTAGAACCATTCCCTTTCTGGGGTTGTCTTGCTTTTGCCTCTCCATTGCACCTGTTGTCACTTTCACTTGCACCAAAGCAGGTGAAACTGATTCACAATCACTTGTGCTTCCTAAATGGACAGATTGATATCCCTGAAGTTTAACTGACTCTGTGTTCTACTGTGATGATTAAGTGTTCCCTTCATTTTTTTGAGCAGTGTACAGGAGTACAGTCACTAATCATCTACTCTGAATACTGCCAGTGGGTGATAACACAATGTACAGTATTTTTCTGTGTGTTACAGACCTTCTTGATGAGGTCCCTGGCATCAATGGTGAGGTATGGGGGCAGATTGAGTTTACACTTCAGGATCTTATCAATGGTCTTCTTCCGGTTTTCAGCTGTGAATGGAGGCTGGTGGAAAATCAGAGGAGGGAGTTAGCAGTTAATAAAGGAGATCAAAACTACTGGTTTCTCTATTCTGTAGATAGAAATGTAAATCCATCACAGAATGGATAAACAGTCACTAATAAGCAGTAACAAGCCTTTTGCCTGGCAAAATATACCCAAGACACATGATGTTGTTGATATCAGTTAAAATGAAGTATCACACTAGAACTAAACACTTGAATCAGGGATGAGAGCAGCTGTCCAAGTCTTCTGGATTGAATATGAAATTGGTCTGAATCAATCACTTGTGGAACTTCACTGACTTTTCAAAAAGTTATCGTTGCTTTAGTCAAAGATGTGCAGATAGTCAAACAAGCGTTTACCAGCTTTCACCTTGTGAATCTGTGTGTGTGTGTGTGCGTGTTTCTGTGTGTGCATAGATTTTGTCACTGCTATACTGACTTGTATTAGCTAAAGTTAGCAATGGCTCCAGCGGTCAAAAAGAGCATAATGTCCGTTAAAGGCTAACTTTAACCCAGACTGGTCCCATGTAAAGACACAGGGGCAGAGAGAAGCAGACTTGCATGCAGTTCTAGAGTTGCAGTTGAACTTGTGTACGCCATTGCCTAGGAATGTGGTCCTGTCAGGCTTCTGGATGTAAATAAATCAAGCGCTCCTTGCTCTCAATGGAGAAAATGGTGAGTTTATTTAGCCAATGAGACAGATTCTTTATAAGTATGGTATGTAACTTGATATTCCTCTTTAAGTGAGGTAAATTTGCCTTAAATCAGTGACCACCCCATGATCTCATGTATGTTTGTTTTCTGTTACTATATGTTTGTTCCCTGCTTATTTCATAAAATGAAAATATTCATAAATAAAAAGAAAAAAGAAAAAAAAAGAAACTGAAAACCAGTGACACTGAAAGAACAGTGACAGCGTTAAAATAACTGTCACTGAAAAAAAGACAGACATGAAAATGAAATCTGAAGACTGACATTGAAAAACACATCATCATACAGAAAATATAAAAATTCAATAAGATAAAATTGAAAGATTGTAGTTTCTTTTAATGCCAGTGTTTCATTTTTCAGTGGAAATTTATTTCAGTGCCAGTTCAACATTTTTTAAATACAAATTTTTCAGTGCCATTGTTTCCTTTTTCAGTTCAGGTTTTTGTTTTCAATGCCAAATAATGTAAGTGTCAAAATGTTACTAATGCCGGTGTGATCCCTATCCCTGTGATCTCCAGTTAGGGTTCTAACCCCGAAAGGATAGAAAGGATATTTTTGTTACAAATGAGCAAGATCAAAAAACGTGCCCGCCATCAACCAAAATATCTTCACAGAGGGCAGGGCTTAACTAATATTGGCCATAACTCATTAAACATTTCTCTGATT